ACTAAACTAAACTTAACTAAACTTAAACACAGTAGAACAAAGACACAAAGGATCTAAAAAATGAGTAAACAAATGATCTAGGTGGGGAAGGAAACACAACACACTAAAGGAGACTACTGAACTGAGAATCTGAACCTATAGAAAACTACAGTGGAGTAACTAGGGGAAACATGAGGGAAACCAGAAGGGAGCTGGGGACCAAAGGGGCACAGAAGACTTGGGGTCACATGAGGGGAACCTGAAGGGAGACCTGGAGGGGGCTGGGGACTGCAAGGACACAGAACATGACAAGCATATGTGTTTGTTTATGTGTGTGTGCGTGTGTCTGTGTAATACTTTATGGTCCTGCAGGTCTGTTCACCTCGTTTTTGTTGTATTTGACTCTTTTATAAAGCTTTTTTTGTGTGTTATCATGCTCGTGTGTTTGCTGAGATATTTCCAGTTTCAGATCAGCAGCTCCTCCAGATGTGCTAGCTTATAGCTGAGGGAGCCATGGATGGCTTCATATGGCACCCATACAGCGTGTTTAGCTCCATGGTTTTAGGGCTCTAGTTCGCTCGCTGCTGCTGTCTCTTAGGCTAACTCCCCTTTTTACACAAAGGTTTTAAAATCCAGTTCAGCTTCCTCCCTTCTGCCCCTTTCCCCCTTCAGGACTTGATCTCAGAGTTGTGTTGGCAACAAAGAATTATTATTCCTTGACACCCACCTGGTTGGTAAGCTACCATGTTAAATAGCACAACGGTGCGCCATGAACTCTAGATAGATGGTGTTAATTTACCACAGCATCTGTTTACAGAGCTTGGCAGTGTGCAGATGGCTGGTGGCAGCTTCTCAAAACGACCACCATCCATGCAACAAAGGCGAGTGGGAAAAATAAGCATGCTACGCTGCAGGGCTGGAGGCAGCCCCGAAAGTAACTGCTGAAAAGATTCTCAGACAGAGCGGAGTCTTGCTCGGTGAATAAAATAGGAGATGATTGTCCTGGAAAGCCACAGTGCATCACAGAGAAGAGTGTATTTAACAGCTTCAGTCAATGACTCTTCATCCCCCGGTGTAGCACTCAGGAAACACTCCACTCTCACTCAGAGCCTGGCGCAGGAGCAGAGCTAACGCTCAAAGGCCTCAACTTCTTCTTTCAGAGCTGGAAATCTGTCTGTTTCTGCACGATTACTTGGCTGTTTTCCAACAAAAGTCATCATTCAAGAGAGCCTGATATGAAAGATAAACATGTCTTAGTATGCAAACATGAAAGGGACCAATCTGTTCAAATGAATCCTTAATTAAAGATCATTTTGAATTGCTTTAACATGAGCTGGTTCTAAGTTTTAATCCTGAACGTGATCCCTGAGCGATCCTGGAGGGTGCGTGGGAGTTTGCCCAACCGATTTATATTTGTTGTGTGGTTTTGCGTTCAACCGCGTCCCTCGGGAGGCCCTGTGGGGGGTACTCCGGGGTTGTGGGGTACCAGGCCCTTTGGTACGGGCTGTTATGTCTCTGGATGACCGGTGTCGGTACCAGATCGGCTCGTGGTCCTGCGCCTGCTGATGACGTCACATTCCAGCAAATCCACTCAGCTTTCACACTTAAGTTTTGGAAAGACATCAGCAGTTTTGTTAATAAATTCTTGTTTGTTACCACCTAAATGTTTTTTTTTTTTTTTTTGTAATTGTAATTTGTTAATAAAACGCCATATTATCTTTGTTTTGTAAAGAACATAAAACTACATAAAACTAACATCAGACTGCCAAAAACACAACAGTTCTTATATGTGAGTCCATTTCTGTTTGTATTAATGTGGAATTTGACGGTATATTTCCTTAGTTGTTATGTAAATCCATCCATTCATTCATTTAAAATGTTGCTTGCTGTCTTTTCAGTAAAGCTCTTATATTTTAGTTTTTGAGGGTCACAGTTTATCAGTTGATATCTTTGCTTTTATTAACATTTCCTTTGGAATTTCAAACATATTTTCTCTGAAAAGTGTTGATTTTTGGACTACAGGACTACAGTCGCTAAGACTACAACCATAATCATGGTTCTGACCAATCAAAATCTTCATTGTCAACTAGGGATGTCCCGATCAGGTTTTTTTGCCCTTGAGTCCGAGTCCAAGTCATTTGATTTTGAGAATCTGCCGATACCGAGTCCCGATCCGATACTTTCGATACATTTTTAAAAAAATATTACAATAAAGAAAAGGAAGAAATAGTTCCAGAATGTTCCTTATTTTTTATTTAATTCGCTTTTTATTTTAATTTTTAACAACAGATCACTTCTGTGAGGTAGCTTGAACAATCAAGTAATAAATAACATAAAATCTTCACTTTTGGACTTTACTGCAAATATGAAAAGTCTAATATAAAAACAGATAGCACTTCAACTTAAAATACCTGGCAGGGGTCTTTGCCTCGGCCCCCAATATGCTTAGATACGTCCCTGGGCATGGGACGGAGTTTTGATGATGATCTGAACTGTATCAACTATATAAATACTACATGCTGATAGGTTATTGCTTCATACAGGTACAATCGTGTAGTGGGATAAGTCTACCTACATTTTATTTTTTAAGAACTTCGTTTTGTTTTCTTGGTTTTTAATTTCCTGTCTTCCTGTCCTGTCTGTCTCTGATCTTCCTGCATCTCCCAGTCCTCCAGAAAAACTCCTGCCTGCTTCCTTCTTTTTCACCTCACAAGTAACTTTTTAACTAGCAGATCTAATCGATCTGTTGACCGCAAAAAAAGCAGAGTGTGCGCTGTGCTGCGCCGGTGACGAGCGCTGCAGCGGGGGTAGCACGAGCACGTCCACACGTCATGCTCAAATACAGACAGAACTTACCAGAGAGAAAATGAACGGACACGAACGACTGTGTGTTAATTGTATATTTTTTGGTGACGCCACTTAGAAACTTAGAAAATGTTACTGTGGCCGTGTGCAGAATGCAGCTGGAGTTCATGAATAATCAGCGGTCTGCCCGCCGCTCTCTACATTCCTGCTCAAAAGAATCCCTGCTAGTCCACATAATATAGGAAGAAACTGGATCTTTTTTGTGCTCCTTCTGGGTGTGTAAGCTAAGGGCATCAGGGGAGCCGAGAGGGTGCTCACTTGGGGGAGCCTGACAACCTTTAAGGAGAACCAAGTTGCTCTCCTGTAATTTGAACCCAGTATCCGAGTCCGGATCGGGAAGTAGAGCCCGAGTCCCGATCAGTCTGAAACCATGTGATCGGGGCTGATTTCCGATCATGTGATCGGATCGGGACATCCCTATTGTCAACGTTCTAACATAACTTTTACTAACGTGGTATGATAACATCCGTAAGTCTTACGTTCAGCCAATCATCCACTGTGATGTAGTTTGCAGATGCTGGACCCTGAGCTGATCCGGATGCTCGAGCAGATCTGGTACCGACACCGGTGCTAGAGCTTGGTTGGCATTGCCGGCAGGAAGTCGGCCTCGTTCCCAGTGAGAGTTGGGCTCCACCAAGGCTGCCCTTTGCCACCGATTCTGTTCACAACTTTCATGGACAGGTTTTCTAGGCACAGTCAAGGTGTTGAGGGGATCTGTTTTAGTGGCCTGAGGATTTTTGCAGGTGATGTGGTCCTGTTGGCTTCATCAAACAATGAAGCCTGCCACTCTAGCTTTCACTGGAGTGGTTCTCAGCCGAGTGTGAAGCAGCTGGGATACTAATCAGCTCCTCTAGATCTGAAACCATGTTCTTGAGTCAGAAAAGGGTAGAATGCCTTCTCCGGGTCAGGGATGAGGTCCTGCCCCAAGTGGAGGAGTTTAAGTATCTTGAGGATCTTGGAGGGAGGGAAAGCTGGAGAGCGAGATCGACAGGTAAATTGGTGCTGCATCTGCAGTGATGCGGGTGTTGTACCGGTCTGTTGTGGTGACGAGAGAGCTGAGCCGGAAGGTGAAACTCAAATTATCAGTCGATCTACGTTCCTACCCTCACCTATGATCACGAGCGTTGGGTAGTGACTGAAAGAACGAGATCACGGAAACAAGTGTAACCATAACCCTTAGAGATACGGTGAGACGCTCGGCCATCCAGGAGGGGCTCAGAGTAGATCCGCTGCTCCTCCACATCAAGAATTGAAGTGGCTCAGGCATCTGATTAGGATGCCTCCTGGGCGCCCTCCTGGTGAGGTTTTCTGGGCACATCCAACCGGAAAGAGAGCTCAAAGAAGACCCAGGACACGCTGGAGAGACTAGTTTTCTCAGCTGGCCAGGAATGCCTTGGCATTCCCCCGGATAAGCTGGCCCAAGTGGGTGGGGAGAGGGAAGTCCTGGTCCCTCTGCTTAGGCTGCTGCCCCGTGACCCAAATCTGGATAAGCAAACGAGAATGAATGAATGAATGGATGTAACAAGCCAATCAGAAGGCATCATTAATTCATCTAGAGGACCTGCAGAAGTTCAAACTGAGCAGCAGAGTGGAGAAGAAAAGAGATGTACGGGACTTTGAACATTGCATGGTTGTTGGTACCAGATGGGCTGGTCTGAGTAGTGCAGAACCTGCTGGTCTTCTTGGATTTGAATCTACAACCATGCCCAGGGTTCACATAAACTAATCAGACTGGTTCTAGATGATTAAAAATCCGCAGCAGCTCAGATCAGCACTGCTCAGATCCTACTAAGGTCTGCAGAAGCAAACCAGCTGCTCTAGATGGACTCTAGCAGCAGGTGACCACACCAGGTGCCTCTCCTGTCAGCTAAGAACAGGAAACTGAGGCTACGATTCACACAGGATCACTAGAACCGGACCAGAAGAGATTGGTCTGGTGAATCTGGATTCAGATGAAACATGCAGGTGGTTGGTCAGAATTTGGCGTCACCAACGTGAATGCTTACGAGTGAGGTACTTAATAAAGGGGTGGGTGAGAGCATATTTGGTCAAATAATCATCAATAAATCATTACAGGTATCTGTGGTTTATATGTATTCTTCTCCCCTCTGAGATGAACCAGCAGCACTGATCTGGGATTGGTTCTGTTTTTCTAGCTGTTCGAAACGACCGGAATAAGAAGAAGAAGGAGAGCCCAAAGCCAGAGCTAGCAGAGAGTTATGAACTGACGGCAGAACTGGAGACCATCATTGAAAAGATCCGTAAGGCCCATCAAGAAACCTTCCCCTCCCTCTGCCAGCTGGGCAAATACACCACGGTGAGTGATCTTCAGGAACCAAAGACGTGTCTCTCTGCTCTGAAGCATCTAGAATCAATAAAGGCTTCGTTCATAAACGGTAATGTGACTTTATGCTCCGGGATCTTCCACAGACCTGTTTCTCTTTGATCCTGTTTCTCATCCGCGTAATGATAATCAATCTCTAGTACTGTAGCTAAATCCCTTTGAAAGAACTGGAGTCCTCAGAAGTACAGTGCAGACGAATCCTCACAACACCTCCTCGTCCTTTTCTGTCGATTAACGAATGGATGATAAGAGTGATGGAATAGGAACAATGTCAATATGTGTTCATCCCAGCATGCTGCAATAAGATACAATTACTCATTCATTCATTTGTGTAAATGAACTCTGTAAACACAGAGGTAAAGAAGCATTCATGTTTTTCAAACATCATAATGTATTATTTCTACATAGGATCAAAGGTCACTAAGGGAAATCTGTTTGCTTCATGTTTGACTTCAGCTTCTCTGATTAAAGCATCAACTTTGACCTAAACTCTTTTCACTTAAGTTCTGTCACGACTAAACCGCTTGTTCCTCAGAAGGGTCTCAGGGAGCTGATTTCTATTCCAATCAGTAATTGGGCAAGACGACGATGATGGTGACGATGACGACGATGATGATGATGATGATGACTGTTACAATGTTGATGATGGTAATGGTGATGAGGATGATGATGATGACAATTACGATAATGATGATGATGATGATAGTGGTGATGATGATGATGATGATGATGATGATTATAGTGGTGATGATGATGATGATGGTGGTGATGATGATGATGATGATGATGGTGATGGTGATGGTGATGATGATGATTATCATGATGACTTTTACAATATAGTGTAACAGTAGCCAGTGTAGTGATAGTGATGATGATGATGATGATGATGATGATGATGATGATGATGATGATGACTGTTACAATGTTGATGATGGTGATGAGGATGATGAAGATGATTATTTTGATGATGATGATAGTGATGTTGGTGGTGGTGGTTGTGGTGATGATTGTAGTGGTGGTGGTGATGAAGATGATGGTGGTGATGGTGGTGGTGATGATGATGATGATGATGATGATGATTATAGTGGTGATGATGATGATGATGATGATGATGGTGATGATGATGATGATGATGATGATGGTGATGGTGATGATGATGATTATCATGATGACTTTTACAATATAGTGTAACAGTAGCCAGTGTAGTGATAGTGATGATGATGATGATGATGGTGGTGATGATGATGATGATGATGATGGTGGTGATGGTGGTGGTGATGATGATGATGATGATGATGATGATGATGATTATAGTGGTGATGATGATGATGAAGATGATGGTGGTGATGGTGGTGGTGATGATGATGATGATGATGATGATGATGATGATGATGATTATAGTGGTGATGATGATGATGATGATGATGGTGGTGGTGGTGGTGGTGATGATGATGATGATGGTGATGGTGATGATGATGATTATCATGATGACTTTTACAATATAGTGTAACAGTAGCCAGTGTAGTGATAGTGATGATGATGATGATGATGATGACTGTTACAATGTTGATGATGGTGATGAGGATGATGAAGATGATTATTTTGATGATGATGATGATGATAGTGATGTTGGTGGTGGTGGTTGTGGTGATGATTGTAGTGGTGGTGGTGATGAAGATGATGGTGGTGGTGGTGATGAATATGATGGTGGTGATGATGATGGTGGTGGTGATGAAGATGATGGTGGTGGTGGTGATGAAGATGATAGTGGTGATGGTGGTGGTGATGATGATGGTGGTGGTGATGAAGATGATGGTGGTGGTGGTGATGAAGATGATGGCGGTGATGATGGCGGTAGTGGTTATGATAATGTTGGTGGTGGTGGTGATGACATGATGGTGGTGAAGGTGATGGTGGTGGTGATGATGATGGTGGTGATGGTGATGATGAAGATGGTGGTGGTGATGATGAATGTGATGGTGGTGATGAAGATGATGGTGTTGATGACAGTGGTGATGATGATGATGATGAAGATGATAATGATGGTGATGGTGGTGGTGATGGTGGTGGTGGTGGTGGTGATGATGATGATGGTTGTCATGATGGCGGTAGTGGTAATGATAATGGTGGTGGTGGTGGTGGTGATGATGATGATGGTGGTGATGATGGCGGTAGTGGTAATGATATTGGTGGTGGTGGTGATGATGATGATGGTTGTCATGATGGTGGTAGTGGTAATCATAATGGTGGTGTTGGTGGTGATGATGATGATGGTGGTGATGATGGCGGTAGTGGTAATGAAATTGGTGGTGGTGGTGATGATGATGATGGTTGTCATGATGGCGGTAGTGGCAATGATAATGGTGGTGATGACGTGATGATGTGGTGATGGTGGTGGTGATGGTCGTGGTGGTAGTGATGAAGATGATGGTGGTGGTGATGATGGCGTGGTGGTGATGATGATGATTGTGGTAATGATGGCGGTAGTGGTGTAATGAAATGAGAGGTTATTACATTTTTAATTAATGAGCCATAAGACGTGGTATTCCATAGGAAATATAGAATCCACCTTACGGATCGAGGGTTATTTAAACCAGAAGATTGGATCTTTTTATTGCAGCCACCACCACCATCATCATCATCATCATCATCATCATCAGCTTCATCATCATCATAACCATTATGTATTCACTCAGAGACAACAGAATAGAGAGAGTCAAGCTTAAAAGTTAAGAATTTTATTACTAACAAATTAAACTAGACTAACTTTAAACTAAATGTATGTGTAACTAAAATGGATGAGGCGGTGAATGGATGACGTGTGATGTAAACCAGAACCAACAAATCCGAAGAAGCGATTAGTTCTGACGGGAACTGAGGATGTTGTTTTGAATTAAACTTTGGTTAGTTTCAGAAACAGCATGAGACCCCATCATGTCGGCATAGGCGTCATTTTAACCGGGGACGCCGGGGACATGTCCCCGGCAAAATTTGTGATTGGCAGCTGTGTCCCCCCCCCACTTTCAAAAAAGCCTGCTGATGAGGATTTTTGTTTTACCAGCTCAGATCTTATACCAGGGGTCGGCAACCTGTTCCCATCAAAGAGCCATTATTACCCGTTTCCCACAGTAAAGAAAACACCGCAGCAGCCGCGACGTTGTGGGCGGGGCCTACCCTCAGACAGCAGAGAGCTGCTCACAACAGGTGACAGCAGCCGGTACCGGTCACTCGCATGGATGTCGCACCTGTGGGGGATGGGGGGGATGCAACACACACACACTTTTCTTATTGAGATCATTCAACACCCACACTTTTGGCGTCGCACCCGTGGGGGATTCAACACCCACACTTTTCCAGCTGTTTTGCTCACCTCCACACCAGTCTGGTTTCTTTACGTCGCACTCACTCTGTTTGCCTCATCTCCTTCTTCCCCTCCCGCTTCTGACAGCCGATGTCGGGTTTCCAGGAGAGCAGGAGAGGGAGGGACGGAAGAGCTCGACTGAATTCATAATTTTACATCTTGACATTAGCTGTACAAAGTCTGAGTTTGATAACGTGAAGAACAACAATTTGCAGAGGTTTATAACTGGCGCGGCGCCAGGTTTTCATTTTTGGGTGGGCCACGGTAATTTTGGATGAACCTTAATAAGCAGTGACTTAAGTGAAGCAGGCAGGTCGCGCTAGAAAATTTCATTTGAAAAGACGTCATAAATGTGTTCCCCCGTCATTTTTATTTCTGAAATATGAAGTAAAAACTCCCAGTTTAATTTTCATTCATTTGTCATTAATATGTAGTCTACACCCGTGCGTTAAGTGGACCATCTTCCAGTAAAAGCAAAGCATCCAGCCCACCTCTCCAAATGCGTAAAATGTGCATCAGCCGCTAGTTAGGCGCGCCGCGCGCTCCGTCAGCTACGTCAGCCCAGACAAGAGCAGAGCAAATAGAGAAAGAATAGAGGATAATTGTGTCTGGATGTGGATGGAGATTACATTTTACAGCAGCCTGATCATCATTTAAACACGTAAACCATCACCTGTCTTCTAGTCCACGCTATCAGCATTATTTTAATTGGTCTGTGTGTGTGTGTGTGTGTGTGTGTGTGTGTGTGTGTGTGTGTGTGTGTGTGTGTGTGTGTATGCGTGTGTGTGTGTTTTCCACTTCAAACACTGGTCTAACCAACCAGACCAGCGTGTCCAGTAACATATTAATGTTACACTTCATGTAGGCTAGGAACATTTCACCTGCCGTGGCCCGACTGCTTCTGCTCCACATAAACTTTGTGCGTAATCAAATGTCTCTACAGGAGCTTTCTGAGCTGAAGAGGCTTTTCTGCCTCAGACTGGATGCGTCATGCGTCTCCATATTAGAGACGTGAACAAACGCTGTTCAGCCAAAGTTTCATAATCAGAGAACATTTTTCCAAGTGACACATCCCTCAGAGAGACCGGGTTTCCAGACCGCTTCAGTGGGAGGAAATCTTGCCGCATGCACCGTGGTTCTGCGCTGCGCTGCGAACCCCTCTACAGATCTTCAGCCCACTGTCCACCATGGGCGCTCCGAGCCGCGCTGAACACAGTGTCCAGTATAAAGCTCTGATGTTCTGAAGGGAATCGTTTCTTGATTGAGTTACCTCCGCGATGTGCGTTAACGATTAAAATGTCAGCTCATCCATGCGCATCAGTGTGCGTCGGGGTAATTCTTTCAAAACAACCAACATCCTTGAGTTTATCCGTCAAAATAAACAGTCAAATGTAAATATCTGTAACCTGCCATTTAACTGTTTTGCCTTCTTGTGAAGATTGTTGCAAAGAGAAATAATTAAACTTGATTAACCCCAGAGCCATGCGCACTATGCACTCCGTCACTGTAAATGAGGGGGAAACGATTTAATCGGATCCTTTTCTTTTCAACATGGTTTAATGTAAAGTTTCATTCAGTACAAACTTTAGTTACACCAATCTAACGAGACAGA